TTCTCGGTCATGGCCACGAGGCTTATCCTCTTACTCTGGCGTCCATTAAAGATAAACTATGATTTCAGAATTGCATCCTCTGTTAGTTGTGGCGCGATGCTTTCACAATAGAAATAATAAAATATAATTGTCATAGTAATATAGTAAGGGTAATGATGGAACATAGATCTCCAAACGTACTCTATTTGTATCAAACCGCAGTGCCCTGCGTTGCCCGAATATCTATTTATCTCGTTCGTCAATTAGAAAAAGGATTGAATTAAATCTTAAGTGTATCCCCACCGTGGCCCACACCTCCACCGCGCTCACCTCGCCACTACCTTGCCTGCCACGCTTGCTAGGATACTGCCACCATCGTTGCTCCAGGCAACTGTCACCAGATGCATTGTGGTACTCTCCCGGCAAACTTACAGTAATAATCGAAGGGTTTCTCAAAACAACAGCATTAGTCCAAAATTGAGTTTATGATGCCACCTTCTAGTGTGAACATTTTTGCATCGAAGGATAATATCGATTCGATCTAAGAAAACGAGCGACGAAAAATAGGTGAGCTAGGAAGTTGAGGTAAGAACGTAGGCGGTTTTTTCTCATTTTCCACAACTTGGACTTTTGAACTAATGCTGTTTTTTGAGAAATCCTTTGATTTTCACCGGAAATTTCGTGGAATGTATTGAGCTATTGTAATGTTTCAAAAAGCATATAGTAAGAAATTTTTGAGCTTTAAGAAACGTTTAGTGTATATCCGTCTTTCGAAAATATTCACCAAAAACTGAAAGAATCCACCTTGAAATGTTGCCTAAGGGATAAAAAGAGATACGGAATTTTTACGGACTTCATGCTGTAACTGCAATCTTTCCCTTAATATTAAGGACAAGTGAACAGAATTTCATTGAGATCGGAGTAGAAGTGTTGATTTGCACAGAAAACGAGCAAACGTTTTATACAAGGTAAAATAATAATTTATTATTATTATTTATTATTAGATATTATTAATTATATTATTATTATTATTATTAGAAAAAGTTACATAAGTTATTCCAGACAAAACACCTCCTTTCAGTAAAAACAGCATGGAAATCGGTTTAGCGGTTCTTCGGTCAAACAGGTAGAGTGTAAAAAGTCGTCAGTACAATTCATTTCTTTTTTATATAACTTAAATAACCATAGAAGATTATAAAAAACCGTTATTTCCTAATCAAAGGCATTCGCTCCAATTTTATAATGATAGTAGAGGAAGAAAAATACAAAGAAGGAATAGAAAAAGATGATTTAATCCAGAAAGACGTTTACGTCTATTAAATCAAATTCAATATTCACTTTGAATTATAAGATGACTTTATATGTCCATTGTAGATTTAAAACTTTTTTTAATTTAACACATTTTTGAAAATTATTTTATTACTTTGGGTAATATGGTAAAATGGAATCACAAGAAACAGGTTTTTGCATTTTTTTATCAGCTCCTCTCTTTTCCTCAGCACATGTTGCCATCTTTCATGGAAATATCGCAGGAATAAATTTTATAAACGTATAGCCGTACAGTTTCACAAGCCTTCATTTGACATGAACATGCGGGACGAAATAGTGCGCCTCGCTCCAATACAAAGCACCATAAATCACGAACTTGCCACGTCACGTGTTTCTTTCTGGAGGAAGAAGAGGGTGCACTTTACAGCGCGATGCGATGCACGCCGCTCGACAGATTTCCCCTTCCCTCCCTCTCCGTGGCCATTTCGTATCGACGCGCAGCAAGTCTCGCTCCACTTCCGCCTCGGTTCATCCACCACCCACGGCAACACGCTGCCCGCGTAGACACATGCCTCTCCAACCATGGTTCTCACTCGATTCGCCAGGCTATTTTTCTACGCACAAACCTGATATTTGTTTACATGTCTTATGTAAACAAATATCATCATTTACACAAAACATTATTTACATGTCACAACAATTTTCTTAAATTGCAGATGAACAATATCTGTAAAAATAGTATAGATTTTACCAACTAGCAGATTGTAGGACAGCTGAACAACCCTGTTAAAATGTATTTAATGATTTACCAACAACACAGTGAATTTAGTTGTAGGCTAAATCGTAAACTAATAAAAATGTGTTATAATACGGCAGAAAAAATAAACTAGACATATTTTATTAATTATCTAAAAACAACCTGTTTTATAGTTAAAACAATTAGTGTCGTTTCGTAACATGCCTACTACCCGAGGTGAAAATGGATTCACGGGAGCCCCAGTGTAGAAGGCTCAAGTGCTTTCCCTAAATGCAAGTAAAACTTGGAGTTTTGAATCTAACTTATATTGGTATGTAATACATTAAAAATTAATCATTAATAAAAGAAATAATTCTCCGATTTATGCCACCAAGATTCCCGTATCTGGGACCGATCCTGAAAATGAGTTTGTAAAATTTTCATCCGTAAACTACGTGATAGAGGTCGGGCAATAGTGCTCTATATTGTGAAAAACATAAGCAAGTTGCTCAAGGATTTGTTTTGATTTGTTGTCAGTTTTAGGTCGCGTAGCTTACCGATATATATTTTGAGAATTCATTTTCCAAATTAGGGCCCTGGTCGGGCTGTAGACGTCGATCAACTCGCTCAATTCTCCAATAAATTCGTAATCATATACATATGACGCGACAAACGTATTGTGTGATCTTCACTCAACCACTGACCCGCCACGCCTATACTCTTTGTTGTTTGTTTTTCGGAATAATTCTCATGTCCTATTACAGTAATGACAAGGAATATTAATTAAATATTCGGTTGCCATGAAATTGTTACGGATTTATTTTACCAAGGAAACTTACAAAATATTATTCAAAACAAACCCTTTATTACCAAATCCCTGACTACTAAGAATTGCGTCAGGCTGCATTTGTGTTCTCTGTAGTGTGTTTCTTGTTTTAGAACCAGAAGCTTTTAAAGAATTTGATATGATTGTGTAATTTACATGGTTGAGTGCAGTAGTGTTTCATTTCTTCAGTAATTTGCAGAATTTTGTTTCTTCTCAGATCCATAGTATCTACGTGCTCTGCTACTTGTCAAATGTAATATACATATTTATTACGGATAAACAACAATATAATCTAGTAAAAAATATGGATTATTTATATCATTTTTGTAGGTTTTAATTTTTGTTTAATATTAATTAATTATATACCAACAAATAATTCACAATCATCCAAATATACTCATCAATGTACTTGAAAACAATAAAACAATCGGGTATTAACGTCATCATCCTTTGGACCTTCTATCTAGAGACTGTGAATTTAATTTAGTTATATTTGTTTTCGTAATATTTGTCAGTGCAGCATATGATCTTCTGGAGATCGTATATTAATGGAGTGAGCCAATAGAGGAAATCTTCTCGCAAATACACTCCATTTTTTATAATTATACAAATTGGCTAAATATTTCTATAAGAACAAATTGCATATATAAATGTAGAGCTGTTCAAATTAATAGACTCACAACAAAAAATTTTGAAGTTATGATTATGTTACATGATAGCAGTCGCCTAGAGCACTGACTCGTTTTCAAGTATTAACCTGCCATATTCCTTCTAATAACAACACTTTTAAAAAGCGGAAGTGTTACTAATGAACATTAGCTATCAGTATTGACGTAATTACCTGCAAGTGGCACCCGTGTGCGAATGTACAGGTGTTGTTCTCTATATGACAAAACTCCATATTATGACGATGTGTCGTTTCTTCAAACAAGTGAGACATTCACCAACTTTGCATGCTACGGCAGATCAGTTTAATGGTTTGATAATGTAAAGACTTATTATAATTACATGATTTTAATGGATTATAAGTTAACAATGCGAAATGGGAATGAGGAAGAAACTTTCTTCTCGTAAATTTGCAGTTGTTAAATCTCTTCTGGAAGAAGACATCTATACACTGAGGTATATTGCTAAGAGATACGCAAAAATTGTTGAGTCAGTATTACAATGAGAGAAAACGAAACATATCGATAAAACAGAGTAGAAAACTAAAGCTCTCTCTTAGAGGCATAAGTTAACTAAGCAATTCAATTTTGAAGAACAGAAAAGAATAAGTGAGAAGATGGTAGAGTATAGAGCACGTGTTCCACAGACAGTGCCGGCGCTAGGCATCCATAACATCTTAATATGGCCTTTTGTAATGTAATTTGATCATCAAAGTTGACACACTGAGATTTAAGAGCGTGTTTATATTTTGGGCAGTCATTGCTACTTTGGGAGAGTGGCCTACTTGACATATTTCACAGGCAGAGCGTCGTGAGTTTGACGCACGAAAACCCACACGTGCAAATTCCTCATTGAAAGGCGAAGCTGTTTGATACAGAAGATATCCAAATATGGATATCTTCTGTACAGAAGATATCCATATCATGGGCAAACCGGTCGATCGCCCTGGGCCCGCAAGACTAGAGGCCTAATGATGGGACTGATGGGGAAACAATTAGTAAACAATTGAAAAAGAAATTAGAATTCAAGGAAAAAGTTATCGTAATTTTATAAGTCACAGAACAATAGACTGATATTTCTTAAAATATTCAATTAAAAGTTCACCTTAAATAGTCAATTATAGTAATTATTGTAAGATAGGATATAATCCACGATGAGTAAATACCGATTAAATGGATTGACTTCAATGTCTATTGAGAACTAAATATGTAAACTAATTGATAAACGCGACATCATTTACGCCTTTCCAGATTCTGGGTCAATGACTCCCTTCCCGATCAGGTGTTCGCCCTGTTTCCTTGATCTTAGGCCAAATGCTGAGGTGGCCCCTTGTTTTGCTTCTGGACGAAAATGTAACTTCAATTTAACTTCTTCCCATAGAACGTCACTCATAGTTTTTAACTGATTTGACGTAAATAAATAAGTATATCAAAAAGTTCGCCTGTTTCAGGGAATGAGAGTTACGTTCACTATGTATCGGTGAAACAGACAAATGTATTTAATCAAATGACGCTAACATTAAAATAGAGTTGAAATTAATATTTATTAATTAATGTATTTAACAAAGGATTTTATTAAACACTACACATAACATTTTTAGGGTTTTAAGCTCAGTATAGAAATTGTATTATTTGATCACTAAATACTTTTAAATAAAACTATTATTTAAACTATATTTAAAAAAATCATAGCTTAAACGTAATTTATAACCTTTGTTGAAATAAAGTAACTCAAGTTTCATGATGCAACTTTCACTTTTTAAGTTGTTTTCAGGGGATGGGAGCCTTCGTTTCACCTTTGCCTCGGGCCCAAAATTGCCTTGCTCCGGCCCTGTCCACAGGAAGAGGGACAATAATTCTCTATGAAAAGGGCATAATATCACAAAGAACCAGGAAAAGAACAAAAATTGCACCTGCAAACGCATCGAATGAGCACGAAGCCTGTAATACTGAACGTATGAAGTCTGGGAGAAAATCGTTTTAGTGATGAATCATGTTTCTCTACATCTGACGAATATTATCCAGATACGTTCGACGTCAATTTGGTGAGACGTTCGTAGTTAAATGTGTCGAACAAACTGTTAAACTTCCAACATTGCTTAAGGTGTGAAGCATAAAGTCTTCCATGGGTTCTGGCATACTATTTAGATGGAACGATGCAACAAGACCGGTACTTAAAACTTAGTAAGGAAGAACTACTGCCACAGGTAGGAATCTAGTTTAATGAACGCCCGTACGTATTCATGCACTTCGGCGTACCCTGCCATCAAGCTAAGATCGTCCAAAACGTAGTGCTTGATACGACGCGATCATGTGTGTTATATTAAAACTATGTAATTTAAATATGTTTTATTTATTGAATTTGAGAAATGTATGTTTCAATAATTTCAAATGTATAAGACAAGTCATTAAAATTAATTTGGTGTAGGTACTTACGCGGTTCAGAGTGTATTGTTGATTAATAAATATAATTCTTTAAAAACTGAATACTGCGTCTAATATTTTGAACAGATCTGTTAATTTAAAAATGGGCTTGAAATTTGTTATTATAGCATTACATTAGGAGAGAGAAATAGCAATGTAAAACTCTGACAGTCTTAGGGAGGAATTTATTTTTAATTTCAATATGTAACGTTTTAGACGCAATATGTATTCATGTATTCTTTCTTCACAATAACACTACAATAAAACTCTTGACAATAATCTATATATTGACGCATAGGATGCAAAGTGGTGCTATTCTTCAATATTCCAGGTCGAATGGATAGTATGGATGATCCTTTATCCTGAAGAAAGACAAAAGAGTTAACTCAGATTGGTAACTTGAAATTTCACGAATCATGTCGTGTAAAATCCACATTTTTATTCTCTAGTCCTTTCTTTAATTTGTATTACCAGTATTTCTTTCAACTTTTTGATGCGAATGCTTTATATTACGATAAAATAACATTAAGTATTATACTCTATTTTGATGAGATCGAATGATTTGAAAACCAATGGTAAAATAGTTATTCTAATTATCCAATTCTCAATTACAAATGGGTGACTGCTGTTTGTTGATTAACACTTACCACTCTACGCGAACAACTCGTCCGTCGCAGTCAAAAGATGACAAATAGTCCATATCTTCCTCAGAGAGATCAAAATCAAATATGCTAATATTTTCTATAATGCGAGATTTTGTTACTGATTTTGGAATTGTTATAAGTCCTCGTTGAACCTAAAAAAGAGAGCAGACAATAAAAATATTAATTTACTTTCACAAGTCGGCATTTCACTTGCACATTTTAACTTAATATAAATACAAGTTGTCTCTTAAATGTCATTCCGAGAAGACAAAATAATTTAATTTTAAAACTCTAGAAACACTAGACATGCGCTCACCGAATTACGTAATAGTATCTGAGCAGGTGTTTTGCCATACTTATCGCCTAATTCCTTCAACTTAGGATCTTCCAGCAGCTGTGGATCATCAGGCTTAGCCCAAGGACGATCAGGCGACGCGAGAGGACTATATGCTGTCACTACGATGTCTTTGCTCTGGCAAAATTCGATCAGTTTCTGTTGGTTTAAATAAGGGTGCACCTCCACCTGAAATACAAACGAAATTGACGGCTGTTCAATTCACTTTTGTGAATAAAAAATGTTCCCATCCAATCATTTGCTCTGACAAAAACAAGTTAATATCATAAAATAGTTTTATTTATAATTGCTAAGCATACAGCGAAAGCTGTTAACATGCGTAGTCCCAAAATTACCGGGGACTTGCCAGATTTAACAGAAACCGATGAAATGTCCAACAAAATTCCGTGGTCGCGATCCAGATACTAGAGGAGAATTCCTTTACACATGCCGGCAGAATTGTCACTCACTATCACTTTCTCTCTCGTAACTCATACTGTGCAGGAACGACTTGAACTGACTTCTCCGCTCGCTGGGCGCCATTTTATACGCGGTCAGGGCTAAAGGCTCGACGACTGGCACGGCCTCGCTGCTGCGTCCCGGTGGCGGTTCTTTTAAGGGGCGCGGGCGACCACTACATTATCTTTGAAAGAATGTCTACAAGCGCTTATACCAAAGCATTGTGAATCCACTTACTCAATTACACTAGGGAACCAAAAATATTCTGTTGTACCTCCAGGGTGAAAGTAAGTAGGTGATTTTAAAGAAAACGATCACGTTGATTTCGAATATCATAATAAAATTGCTATCGTGTAAGGTTCAAAAGATATGAACATCCCTTTATTGTATTTGAGCAACTCCTCGAGTGTGAGGATGTACGGGTGTGCGGTTCCGTCACTGACGTTTAGCCACTTTCCGTGCACCAATAGAGACATACGAGGTGTCATTCGAAGCGTCTCTTGATGGGAACTGATAATTTCGTTTCAGATCTAGCCATAAAATTCTAAGAAATTTTCGAAAACTGTTTTGGCGCAAAACCCGATTTTTTCCGTGTTTTGGCGCTGCGATCCCGGTTTGTATGGCGTTAATTAAACGAACACCATCTAAATAGACATTTATGGTGGCATTTATTTAACTCTAGTACCTAAAGGCATATTTTGAAGAGACGGACGAAGAGAAGGACGCAGATGAAATTCGCAGAAGTCAAAAAATACGAGAATACAAAAACGAAGTATTGCGGCGGGGATCAACGTTTATGTCTTCACAGAATATCGAGAAGACAATAATTTTTATATGAGAAATCAGGATAAGCCAAGTCACCCGGAGATGCAACAGATAAAGGCATGTTTGCCGATAACCTCGTGTAGTTTTCAAATTGATTTTAAAAATATGTACTACGTAAAATTGAAAGAAAAACATTTCGAAATAACTGTTGGCGAAGTCGAGTTTATGAAACAATTACATTACCTAAATTTAGAAAAGTCCAATGTAGAAATGGTACTCAATAGCACAAAATAATTGCAAAATTTAAGTTTAGTTCGTCATATTCATAAAACATCTAAACTGAATGAAGACTCTGAAGAATTAGAAAAAAAGAAAAGTCGAAAAACCGAAGAAAGTTTACTATAAGCTAATATTTAGTATTTGAAATAAAATCATGTACTAATTTCCGTCTTCACACTCCTGTTATATTATTACAAAATTTTATGAGCCAAAAGTAGAATACAAGGTAAAAACAGGTTAAAAGTGAAATACGCATATGTGTGCAATAATATTGAAACATCTTGGGAGAACAAATTCGTACTGCATTGTTTAAAAATGCTTTTACGCCTTGTTACTTGCTCTTGTATTCCTGCTTACTCTCTCTGACAAGACACCAGCATCTCTCATTGCAGGATCCTTACGCCCTTGGTATCTCTTCCCCATGTAGCAATATCTTGATGAAACTGTTCACCATGTTCATCACCAATATTAGCAAATGGCAATGTTTTGAGTTTTCCTAATAACCCCATCTACGGTTTGTTGAACAGGTAACAACACTGGCAAAAAGCCTATGGTGCATCCTGATCACGAATACGACAGCCAAAGTTTAAATAATATGCAAGTTTTGTAATTTGATATAGATTTCTTCTTTGGAGTTTGGATGTAAGTATAACAGAAGTTATTCGGATTCTTACACTTTCGATGTGAAATGATGTTTTGCATTTTATCAACCGATTCAATTCAACAGATCGAACGTGACGAATTTCACTTTATAAAACTCACAGAACTGTACTGTATGTGTAAATGTATTTGAGGCAAACGCAAACCAGACACCACTTTCAGGCGCACAGCGGGTACAATTCCGCATGACACCGACAGACTCAGAATCTGCCATCCCAACAGCTGAATATTTTTAACGGTATACGATAAATTTAAGGGACTAAAATAATTCTTTTCGGTGACTGATGCGCAGTAGAAAATGCGCAGTAGGGTGCACGTGACTTGTTTTCAAAACATCCAATAAATCCACTAAGACCTACTCGTAATTGAGCGTGACTACCAGAATAAAGATGGCAATTTTCTAATACTGAAGGTTAAAAAATAAAATTAAATAACATGAATATTTAGTTTTGTTGATATCTCATGAAAGTGGCATAGCTGATTGGAACAAATATTTTATGTTTAAACAGATTTTATGCGTATTGATTCTACATATCTTACAGGTACAATTTAAATGTATTTGCATTAATTTCTAAATACGCTATGATACGGTATTAGATACAATATATTTAAAAACTGTGACGTGATATGACGCTTTTCGTGTGATATTCTTAATGTATGTATAAAATTGAGTACGCAGCTTATTTTCATAAGGTAAAAATTGTGCATTCTATTGTTATCTTTTAGGAAAAAACGGGCGTAACTGAAAGTTTGTCAATAGTTTTCAGTGGTTGAAATGAAAATGAATTTTCCTGGTAAACTTTTTCTTAATGAAGGTAGATATATTTCTTTAATTTAAGTAACAAAATAACGAGTGCATAACCATAAACTATGATTACAGAGGTTCTGCACTTCAAAGATAAGTAGTTTATCTTCGAAACACAATTTTTTACATTCTGTATTTGAGGATAATTGTATTGCAACTTTTATATGTGTAATGTGGCTATCGAACTTTGACTCGTCAAGATAAACTTACGTATTCATAAAATATCACTCATAAACCTTAGATATTTGTTTCGTTAAGTGAAATCGTATCATATGGTAAAGGAAATAATTTCCACAAAAATGTCTCACAAACTTTTGTGGAGATTATTTCCTTTACCATATTATGGATTACCACAAGATATCTGCTACCACCACGGAATTTAAATCGTATCAGTGAGTCCTGAATAGATATTAACGTCTACGCAGAAAATACAGAGTTTTTTTGCAAATCGAAAATACTACTGGGAGAGAGAAATACTATGTTTCAAATCTACACGGTAGACATTATTCACATATTGAAATACTAGTTTATACAATTAGTTGATCATGTTACGCTCTATCGTATGAGTTTATGTTTTGAAAATAAGAGACGTTAGGAGCAAGTTTTCAAATTTGAACGTAGGCAATAAAGCAATGAGTTGCATTCGCTATTTGTTTGTATAACAGCGTTATAAATGTATAAGAGAATCAAAATTAATTTTGAGAAACATCCTTCTCTGGACATCTCGGGCGTTTGACATCTGTGCGAGAAAACTGTGGTAGTCTGTTTCGTTTACTGCTACCTCCCCTGATCCACTCGCTGCGATTGTCTGTATGTGTAATGATGCAATCATTCGTGCAGCATTCGTTTAGATATTCGGCATCGAAGTGCAAGATAACACTTGACGTGCCATTGTTTATCTAAGCAACAAGTACTGTCAGAGAAAGACTCTGTAAAAACATCGGTGTACCTGGTTTGTAACAGGTTTGATTTCAGCAACTTCCAGAACACGGTTGATCTGCTCGTGATTGAAGTTGGAGATGCCAATCGACTTGGTCAGCCCCTTCTTCACGAGTTGCTCCATGGCCTTCCACGTGTCAACGTAGTCCACGTCGCTGTATAGGGTCTTCCCATCTTTCTCTGGAAATAAACTTTCACCTTCCTGGGGAAACACATTACCTATTAAAAATGTAAACTAACAACTTAGAACATACGTGAAATAGAATCGAGTACTTAGTATATAGTACTTAGTAATCATGGCAATGGAGAAACAAGTTTCTTTGCATTATTGATCAACTCAAGGAACTTTATGAATTCATTACGAACACATACTGAATTATTTTTTTCTTACCTCTACTTTACTTACTTCTACGTGTTTGTTAAATCCATGTGCGTAATTTATTTTCACTAATTTTTTCAATGATATAAAAATAAGAT